CAGTGACGGATGCTTTAGGGCTCGCTCACACATTCTTCAGGGGCCGATTGCGCAACAAATACCCGTAGTTTCCAACACTTTTTTGGCCTCTTCAATTGCTTTCTTCTTTTGAGTTTCTGCAAGAACAAAATCCTCACCCCTGCCCTCGCCCCCACCAACACACACCCAACATGTACTTGTGGGCCTCTCTGGGTCCTCCTCTTCCCGGAACTGGTGATGACGAGGAAGAACTGGAAGAATCTGGTCTTTTTTAAGCAGGAGCTTTTCAGCTGTGGCTTAGGTTTCTGGCTAGGTGTGGAGGGTTCCGGAATTTCTCCTTTCCGCTCTGCTCTTTCTAAGTCCTGCCAGCCTCCCCTGTCGTCCCCCCGCCCCCCACAACTGTGCCAGCCACCTTCCTCTCCCCTTGCAGTTGGGGAGGGTTCACCCTTCCCTCTGCCTCCTGGGCACCTTGCTGCTTTTCTTCCTCACACACTGGGAGTTCCTGGGTGCTAAGAGATGAAAGGCATTTGTAGACCCATCTGGGGGCTCCTCTCCCCACTTAGCCAGCCAAGCTGGTCTGTCAAGTGGCAGCCCCTCCCAGCCCCCTAGCCTTCCAGGTGGGGGCGGCAGGCAGTGATTAAGTAGCCAGCCAGGTCTTTAGCTGATTCCAGCCTGGTTTGTCATAACTCTACTTGGAGATATTTTGGTCCCTGTGACTTGTGGCTGCGCCGTGATTAGGGTTTGATTACTATCACCAAAGTGACTAAAAGATGAAAATAGAAGCCACAACAGGAAATAAACAACTGCACATGAGATATTTTATTCCATATTCCCTGCCAGCAAATGATTAGAATCAAACTCATTCACAATAGTTTGGTGAACTCCTAAACTTTTTGAGGCTCAGAAGAATAGTCTAGAGGGGCCTGGCTTGCAGGTCACGTTGTGACCAGGGGGAAGGGACAAAAAGGAACTCTTTTTTCTGGGTACACCAGGCGGTGGGAGTTCCTCTGAGCTAGGGCCCCTGCTTCTTCCTTGGAAAGGAAAGGAGTCGGAATGGCAACGGGTGGGGCTGGCGAGCAGGAAGACTCAGGAGGTGCACCGTTGCAGGGGGTGCCCAGCTCTAAGGCAGCCCAAACCAACCACGGCCTCTCCTTGCCCAGCATAGTGCAACGGAGGAGGAGGAGGGAAGCGGTATGGACAAAGGGATGACGCCTTCATGCAAACGCCCACAATTACACTCCATGGGACATAGTTCTGCAAGTACATGCATGCTCCCCCCCAGACACGCTGTGACGTCAGATTTCACTCCTGAAACTCTCACAACACCTACCTGCCTTGTGCACGCACTCTCCCTTTGTAAAGAGTGTCACACACCATTGGCCAGACTTCCCAAAATTCTTGAGAGCCTCCAGCGAGCCAAGGACCGTAATTAAGACTGTGAGACATTTGCTTTCCCTGTTTAAGGCCTTCCTGCCATTTTGTGTCCCAGGCCCAGTGCACCTACCTGGTTCTCTCTTTCCCTCTCCAAGTGGAGGTCTGCTAACTAGCCTTCCAGACCCAAGCCCAGCCAAGCTAGGGCTCTCTTACCAAGTGGGTCATTGTTAGTGCACGTTGCTTTTCCAGTGAGGGACAGGACAGGGTTGGGAGCCGGAATGGGGTCATCTGACTTCTAGTCATTGCCCAGACACCTCAAAATTCCCGTTCACCTCTTCCAGCTGCATCGTGCCGATGAGCACAGAATCCATCCGAACCAAATCTCATCCTCCTCCAGCTCCTCCTGGGCCGCCTTGGCTGCTGTCTTTGCAGGTTAGTTCCTCAGAAAGTTGTGTGTATGTGCACGTACACAGGCATATCGTTTTAGTAGGCACGTTTCTATTTATAACAAAATTAGGATCCCATGCAGCCTCACGAGATAAACGTTTAGAATGCCAGCTTTTACAACCCCTCCACCTCCCCTTCAGACATGGCTTTTTCCGTACTGCTGGACAGCCAGCTGTCTTCGAGGTTAATAAGCTTCGGATGGCCCTGGCCCTGGCTTGGGGATGATCAGGTCTTTCAATTGTCTCGGAAGGTGCCCTGTTGTTGAGGTGGCAGGAGAAAGTAGTCCAAGCTCTACCCAGCTCTAAATGGTAATTCCTAAATATTGATGAAGCACATCAGACACCGTTTAAGCTGCCAGAGAGGAGGGGGCCTTAGCTCTGAAGGGGTTCAGGTTCGCCAGTGGGTTTTAAGAACCGGAAGCCCGGCGTTTTGTCGTTCCTTCATTAAAACGCCCGTGTTTCTTCTTCGTACCGAGCTTACAATTCGACATGACGTTTAAAAATAGTATTTCACTGAATAAGATGTGAGGTTACAGTCACCATGCCAACTAGTAGCGTCGTCACGACGGATGCGTATCTACTGGCATCATTACGCCCCTTAGCACCCGCAGTAAATGCGCTCCTGCAGCGCCTTCGCTGTCAATTCTTTCCTTGCCGCCTTCCAGGCACTGAGCTGCCCGCGAGCTACAAAGCTCCTCCCGAACTTGGGGTCCGAGCATGACTTTCTGACCCTAAGCACCTCGAGAGCAGCCAGGCCGAGCTACGCCCGCCCTCGGCAGATGGGTCGCCGGGCAAATCTCGCAGCGCCGGAGGTCTTCCGGGCCTCGGAGGAAACCCGCCGGTCCCGGGCTTGCAAGCCCCGGCGGCGCTCTGGTTCCTCGCGGGGCTCCTGGCCCTCGCCGCGCGACAGCCAGCCAAATGCATTCCAGAGCTGTGCACAAGCCGCACTCCTGCAAGGCAGTCCCAGCCCCCGGGGCCCGGAGCGGGAGCGGGAGCGGGAGCGCGCGGCCGCGGCTGAGGTCACATTCGCGCCGCCTCCCGCCCTCGGCGGCCCGGCTGTTCCCTCCAGTGCACACTCCCAGGGCCGCGGTCCAGTCCGGCGTCAACGTCTTTCCAACCGAGCCAGCGCTCTCCTCCCCCCCGCCGCCCGCCCCCCGGCGCAGCCGGGGAGCCCCCGCCAGGCCTTTAAACAAAACGCATGAATGGAGCGCCGGGGCGGCGACCGCGAGGCTCGGGCACGGGGTCTAGGTCGGGCCGCTGACCCGTCCGCTCGCTCGGCCCGCAGATTCTCAGCGCAGCCCGCCCAGGGCTCCGGCGGATCCAAGCCCTCCTTGGCGCGGCCGGCTCGCCGGCGGTCCCGGGAGGCTCT